GGTTTGAACCTACCGCCTCTGTATATGGGGCCGGCGCCCTACTCCTTGAGTCACAGGTGCAACCCCCAAATCCAGTCTTTATCACATTCAAACTGAGTTCTTGCACAGCTTGCTAATCAGTCTTTCTGACTTCAGCAATGCCCCCCTTTCAATCCACCTTCCACTTAGAAACCAGTGTGACTCCTTTGCTTAAAACACTTTTATTCCTCTCGACTTTTCTATAGATAAAGATCAAACCTATTAACAGGGCTACGAGACCTTCCATGATCTTCCTCTGCTGACTTTTTCTTTCCCTTCGTGCACATTCCCGCCTTCTGGAATTTCTTCTGTCCTTTTATGTCCAAGTCCCCTACATCCTTCAAGGCCTCCATTCAGGAACTCTCCCTCAACTCCCCCCCAAAATCAGTCCTTTTTGGATTTTGGAAACCTCATTATACATTATCTTTGTTTTACTACTTTCTGATTCTTATCATTATGTCTAGGATGCATCTCTTTGCCTCAACTGTAAGACTGCGGAGGTTTAACCACAAATTCCTAACTGAGATTTAAACACACACACACACACAAACGAGGACCCCAGTTCAGCGCCTAAGCTCAGAGGCTAGGGCGCCAGCCACATACTTTTTGAGGCTGGCAGGTTCAAACCTAGCCAGGGCCTGTCAAACAACAATGACAACTACAACCAAAAAATAGCCGGGCATTGTGGTGGGCACCTGTAGTCCCAGCTACTTGGGAGGCTGAGACATAAGAATCACTTAAGCCCAAGAGTTTGAGGTGGCACTCTACCAAGGGCAACATAGTGAGACTCTGTCTCCAAAAAAAGAAAAAAAAAAAGGACCTGGGAGATACCTGAAAGTATTGATTGAGGAGTTAGCAATCAAGTGCAAGTATGAGGGGTAACAAGCTTCGAGAACTAAATTCCTTAAATGACTAAAATGGATTAGATTCATCCCTGCTAGGTGGTGCTATGTGTGAATTTAGATTGGTGGCGATGGGTGGCACCTGTGGCTCAGTGGGTAGGGCGGCAGCCCCATATACCAAGGGTGGTGGGTTTGAACCCGGCCCTGGCCAAATTGCAACAAAAAATAGCTGGGCATTGTGGTGGGTGCCTGTAGTCCCAGCTACTCGGGAGGCGGAGGCAAGAGAATCACCTAAGCCCAGGAGTTGGAGGTTGCTGTGAGCTGTGTGACACCATGGCACTCTACCAAGGGCGATAAAGTAAGACTCTGTCTCTACCAAAAAAAAAAAAAAATAGATTGGCAGAGATAAATCAAAAGGAGAGTTGCCACAGAGTTGAAAAACGGAATCAAGATCCTTGTCGAGGGACTAGCTATAACTATAAGTGTGTTAGAAAGATGTGCGGGGCATCTAGCACCTCTGTATTTGCATGTGTGTACATAAATGTGCACATGCATGCTTGTTGTTTTATAGATACAAGTGATTACATATATGTGTGAGTTCAAATGTGTGAATGTGTAGCTCTGCATGAATAGACATGTATGCACCCGGGAATGGTTATGAATCTGTCAAATGTGGTTATATATGTGTGTATAGTTGGGGTAGGGGTCTTAGCTTGAGCCTAAGCTTTGTCAGTTGCTGGTGTTCACACATGTCTGGACACGGCTAGGAAACAGGTGGGGCAGGCCTGTAAGAAATGCATTTATCTTGAAAGACTAAGGAACCTCCTAGGAGATAATTTATCCTGGAAAAAGAAAAAGTCAGGTACACAAACCTGGCCCAGTAAGAAAGCTTTAGTCACTAGAAGGGAGAGACATTTCTGAATAGAACATAGTGGCTGTCATTCAGATATTTCCAGACGTAGCCCCATAGAGTTAATGTCTGACCCTCATAGGCATATGAGAAGTTACTATAGTCGATAAAAAAGAGAAGAGCTGTTTTACTAAAACATTTTGTCATTAGGCACATGCATGACTACCTTGGGACTCCACTAATTCATTCAATTTTTTTCAGTAAATAAATATTCATCTAACACCTGCTCTGCCCCAGATACTGTACTGTGTGTCAGGGGACAGCAGCGAACAAAGTGACAGACTTTACATTTGAGCGTAGCCCAAAAAAGAGAGAGGCATTTTCTGCCACATCATACCAAACCCCATATACATTGCCATCTATAGACAGAGGCACAGCTAGTTTATACTGTATCTTTGTACAAATTAGAAAATGGTGCCGGCTTGGCGCCTGTGGCTCAAGCAGCTAAGGTGCCAGCCACATACACCTAAGGTGGTGGGTTCGAATCCCCAGCCCGGGCCTGCCAAACAACGATGGCTACAACCAAAAAATGGCCGGGCGTTGTGGCGGGCACCTGTAGTCCCAGCTACTTGGGAGGCTGAGGCAGAAGACTCGCTTGAGCCAGGAGTTGGAGGTTGCTGTGAGCTGTGATGCCATGGCACTTTACCCAGGGGGATAGCTTGAGGCTCTGTCTCAAAAAAAAAAAAAGAAAAAAAAAAAGAAAATGGTGCCTACTCTAGGTGACCCCAAACCTTGGTGAGGGACAATGCCCTCTCTGGGCAGATGAATCAGAAATAGGTACTCACCCCCTTCTCTGAGACAGATTCAACTTCATAGGCATACTGCCTGGCGGGGAAACACAAGCCAGATTTCAGACTCCCCCTTGTCCTCTCAGCTAAGTATCTTTTTCAGAATGTACAACATACACAACTGTCCATTGTGACTTTGGTTGTAAAGCTCCAAGATATCAGCAGTAGCTCTGGGCACAAGATAATGATATCTGGAAAAGCTACTACCAGAAAGAAACTATTATAACTCCATACAAGTAGCATCAGTCTTTAGCATGGATTACAGAGCCAGAAAAGGCAGCTGGTATCCAGTGGATAGGATACAGTACTTTCCAAATGCGGCAGTACACAGCATAAGTGTCAGCTATGCCCAGAAAATATAATGATGCTTAGATTATACAAGAGCACCCAGAGGATATAAGCTGGAACAGAAGGATGGGGGAAAGAAATACAAAAGCCATGTACTTATACATACTGACACTACTTATTCATGAGCACATATGAGATCCCCCTAAAAACATCCAGAAAAATAACTTATGGTGGTAGACATGCCTCAGGGAGTGAAGGTGGAGGCAGGCGCTAGAAATATGTGTGTGCATGTGTTTGTGTGTGTATGAGAGAAAGAGAGAGAGTAGACAGGCATGTGTGAAAATGTGTGTGTACACAAGCAGACCAGGGGCTTTGCTTTACATTTCATATAAAGGATAGAGCCTAAGATGTGTAGCCATTGCTATCTGGCCTCTCCAAGTGGACAAGTAGTTTTCCTTTCAGTAAAAGAAAGTGTGTTTTTTTTCAGGTAGGCAGCTAGGCAGTATTGGTTGAATCTTTGAATTATCAAAGTGCTACTGATAACAACATAAGGATATCTTTATATCTAGAGTCTTAAGGCTTTGTTTAGGTTTATGTGAGTTCTTTGTATAAAAAGAATATCAGCCATTTAAAAAATTTCTGTAAATATTCATAGTTATTCTCAAT